TAACTACATAACTGAGAACTTATTTTTCATTTTCGTTGATTATGAATCGATCTTGAGAAGATACTTCATGAGATATTATTTGATTCGTAAGGATATTATCATCATATAATTTCATTAATTTGTCATTTTGGTTAGCCTTGTTAAATTTAAAGCCCTTATTTTTATTTGTATTTTCAGTAATCACAATGTAGATTTCGCTCTAACATGTTTCATAAGAACATGTTCTACTTCCTAGCTATGGCGAGCGATATCTCACAATGGCTCTCCAAAGGATCATCATGGCCCTCATCTAACATGGTTAGTTTAAGTTTTTTTTTTTGTTAACTCTTGTTTGAGTGCCCTAATCCAAGCTTCAGATGTCTTCTCCTCCAAGCAAACCTTCTCAAGCTTTGAAGCAGTCCATTCCACATTAGAACCAGCTTGTGTTACATCAGACAAATACTTCGAATCTTTTGTCAATTCATCATCTTGTGTTCATCGTCTTGCAGTTTGACAATCACTGCAGTTTCGGGATATGTTTAAAAAAATCATTATGCTAACTTCACATGCAAAGGAGCAAGTATGAAGCAATGTGCAGTTCTCTTTCTTTGTTTCTCTGTAATTTGTTCCCGTTCACTTGAGAAACTGATCGGTAAATTGTTTGAACAAAACTTTATTTCACATTGGCTTCGTTTTTTTTTTTTAAACTTAACACATTGGCTTCGTGATGGCTAGATAACTAACCAATATTTTATACAACTGTAATTTGAGAACGAAGAGTGAAACTGAAAAGAAAAAAATCGACACGTCCTATAAACAAACACAAGAGAAAAAATCTCACAAATGAATAACTATAAAACCTATAAAAATATCAAAATTATTATACTTATACATACTTCTTACCAAAACAAAATATATTTATAAATACAACCACTGAAACCATATTAATAAAATTGAATGGTCAAATAAAATAGAATATTAGTCACCTCACAAATGTTGTATTTCCCTCTTCATGAGTCAATCTATTACTGATTTCACAACAACAAAAAAAACAAAGAACAAAGAAAAATTATAGTCCAAATTAAAACCGTATCTTCCTCTTTAATACCATTGAATTTATGCATTGCACCTCCTATGAGCCATTCATTGATGTTATACGTTTCTTTAGCTTCTATCGACCTTGTCTTGCCGTCTGGGCTTCTCCACATGTCGTCAAGCTTGATGGAACTTCTGGGAGATCTGAGCCATGTGGTTCATGAATTTGGCTTCCCATCTGCGAAAAAGAAAAAACCCAACAACATTGATTTTTAGTAAAACTTTTTGATTTAGAAAAGTTTAAGAGAAAATATTTGGAAACAATAGAAAAAATCATGTACCTGAAAATGTAAGAACCTCATGTACATGTAAGAGCAGCGATGCTCCTTATAACAATCGACAAAGGAAACAAATACATTTAATCCCTTCTCCAACACTGCCTGGTACAGAATCTAAAACCTCGACATGATTAAACTAAATTGAAGTGTCATGTAACACAACAACTCTTTACAGATTTCTAATTGTAACGAAACACCAAACAAAACATAACGCCTTTGCGCATACATGATACATCCTCAAAACCTTCTGCTAAGGTTTTCATTAACTCGTGACCCAATTTCTTAGCAAGCTTCTCTCTATCTAGCTTCCTCTGCAATGTAAAAACTAAAAAATATGAAAAATTTCATAGAAGGCTGTGGAATTTGAAAAATTAGACTAAACACACAACTAATGAATGTAATACTTGTTGTCATTAGTTTTAACCCCCGAAGACCAGAAAGCTTATATTAGAAGAAACAAAGCATCAAAGACAATCGAGATTAGACAGGCATTTATACTTGTAGCCATTACATTTCTACTGAACCGTGTATGTGAAGAATTTATACCTTAGAATATGTAAGTTATGTTCGCGTATGGAAGATGCCTATCTCTAATACACAAACGAAATTCACAAAGATATTATAGAAGGATATAGAAGGATCTCGAAGATATAAATTAATATGTTCATATAATATTTACGATACCAAAAAGAAGTTAAAACAAACTTACTTTTGTATATCAAGAAAACACAATCATTAAATTAAATTAAAAGAAAAATAACATGCCAAAGTAAAGAGACCAAACCTTGGAATCACCTTTTAAAGTCTTGCTTTCGGTCCCTATATTCAACCATGTTTCAATTCTGTTTATTCATAGATAAAAAAAAATAGCCACTAAATTAGACATGCAAACTATAGCCATGTTAGAAGAAGAATATATCAAACTAAATAAAGTAAGCATGCCAAAAAAATACATTGAGCTAAATAAGATCGTAGGACTCCCGATACCATGATAAATCTGTATATATAAAAAAAGGTATTAAATTCGTTAGCAGTGGTACATATTACAATCGTTCACAGAATATCAAACCTGAGATTAGAGCATTATAACATATCATTAGAATAGAATTTAGCCTGAAATTTGGGAACATTATAAAATTCACAGAGAATCAAACCTATAAGTGAAACTTAAGTTATAATAATGGACATAGGAACCACGAAGACACAAATATATATACCAAACACCTAGGGTTTCTCTTATATGATAACACGTATCAGAATAATGAAAATAAAAAACTATTACCTATTTAAAGATGGAATATTACTAATTTAATTCGAATATATCGAAATAAAATAATCTACAGTATCCTAAATTTGCAAACAGCAACTTGACATGGGCTCCGTTTTGGAAATCATTAATAAAATTTGAGCCAAAACAACTTTAAAAATAAGCCCCACTTGTACTACATATACAACACGAAACAGAGAGTTATTGGGCCCAAATTACGATCAAATGGCATAGAAAATAAATATGTCGATTTTTTAGAAGGTACTTTTATAATCAACCACTTTTAAATTGATGAGATAGTGCCACGTAGAATTTTTTACTTCATATATAATATAATAGATCACCTAAAATACTATGAAAATCGAAGAGAAACACTTATACAAGACTTGAAAACCGGAGTCAAAAGAGTGTAAAAACAGGTTATATTAGTCAAAATTATTCTTCTTAAATCTTTTGTATCTATTGAAGATATGAATACCAAAAAATGAGAGGAGTGACTACAGAGATAGAAAAGATTAAGATTTCTGTAGAGTGACATTATCATCAATAGATACAATAAACGTAACGCATAACTCATAAGAAAGCAACAAGCAACTTAATCACTATCATTATTTTCAAAAAAAAAAAACTTAATCACTATCATGCATGACACTTCATACATTAATGAGGCATCGTCTTCCAACCCCAAAAATCTGTTTGAAATGGGTACATTTTGAAAATATACCACAACAACACTACAAAAAAATATAATTTCAAACAGACAAAACCGTCAGAAATCTATGGGAAATAACCATTTTCAACGGATTTGTCCGTCGTTCATAGAACGTAAGAATTTCGTGATCCGTCAGAAATCTGTTTGAAATTTTCCATATACTACGGATGACAGAGTTCAGTCGCTAAATCCATTGAAAATTTACTGTTGAAAACTCGTGAGAAATTCTCACCACTTTTCAACGATTTTGGTAAGGATGAATTTCCAACCGATTTTCGATGGAAATGACGAACTATCATAAATCGGTTGGAAAAATAAAAATAAAATTAGTACCAGCATATTGTAAATAAATCAATTAAAAATTTAATTTTATGTAAATTATAAAAAATTACATTTAGATTCCAAAAACATCACAGAAGTTTTTAAAATGTTTTATGTAAGTTTTTTTAATATATCAATGGACTGACACATCTTATTATATAAGCGAGGATGAGCGCGATGAGAGTGCGACATGTATGCAAAATTCAACTCACCAGATTACGATACATGTAATTGTTAATTTAGATTGTGACATGTGTCAATATTAACAAAAAATTTAAAAAAAAAATTAAAAATATATTCGAAACAAGGATTATGGACTAATTAACAAAAAAAAACCGTCATACTAAAATAGATAATATTTCTAAATTGCTATATTACAAAATACATTCTTCCATTTCTAATTATCTAAATAGTTAAAGAAAAAAGGAGATGCATATTATAAATTTCATTTTGCTAATATAATAACCTGTATGAGATAATTTTAGTATGAGATAAATATAATAAATTGACGATTAATAAAACATTATAATAAAATAAATATTAAATATTTGTGTGAGTCCTAATTTAGAATCTAATTATATTTGTCAAATTATAAGCTTTATAAATTATAATATCAAAATTATTTACCGCAATGCATTTTTAAAGACAAAAAGGGATGTCATATTATAAGTGTCATTTTGCTAATATAACAACGTGTATGAGATAATTTTAGTATGAAGT